ACAATAATATTTGAACATCTGTTCAAATTTCCCAAATCCTTCCTTTAAGTTCTTCTATTGGAAGTGATAATCATCAACATGCAATGGATATCTGGCAAATATATGTTATTAGTACATCTAGCTGGATAAGCTGGATATTTAGCAACATATTATTATTATCTGGCAAATTAAGTTATATATGAAAAAGAAGAATTCCTTTCTTTCATTTTTTTTATTTCAAGGCTTTAATTGTTCAATTGAATTTTTATTACTTTGAAATGTCATATCAAAATATTTTAAATTAAAAATAGTAAAATATTAATTTTTTCAAACCAAAATTGAGCATTGATGTTGAGAATTCAATATTGAGCTGTGGTTTGAAAAAAAAAATTTTTTTTTCAAGTCAAAGATTGTTTATTTTAGAAAAAAACAAGGTATTTCAAAACTTCTTTCCTTTAGATTTTTAAATGTGATATTTTCAGAATTAGTAAAATGATGAAGCTAAATAATTATTTGACACTTTTCAAGTTCTGTTGCACCTTTGGTTTGGTACAACGGAAGTTAAATGAAGTTTTGCTTTCATAAAGTATACCCACTTCTGAAAATAGCTTTTCACTATATATGCCATTAATTAATGGAGAAAGATGTTTGTTAGCTATTTTAAGTATCTCAAATTAATTTTTCGGTAGGGGTATGGTGAATTTTCTCTTTCTACCATTGGCTTAGGAAGGTATTAATTTTAACTCCTGAATACAATTCATCCTTGGTTATTTGGATACAATTCATATATTTAAAATATTAGAAATCTGTAGAAAAATTATCCTATTAAAACAGTCAGAACTTTCATTATTTTGAGATTTTTCTTTTTCTTCTCCCTCCCTTTCTGAGATAATTTTGCATAGGGATTTTGTAAATTTGATCCTTTTATTTTTAATTAACCTTTTACATGCTATCATTTCCCATTAAGACAATTTTTTTCTGGACTGGCATTTATATATATATATTTGAGTGATTGTAGATAAATATTTTAATGTACATTTGTTTATATACATGGGGTCCGAATTAAATGTACCTAAATTGGAGAGGTCGCTCTATTTAACAAAAAGTTTAAAAGCATAAGAAAACTGTAAAATTAGATACCAATACTCACAAAGTTTTTACAAGTCTTTAATCCGGACTCGTCGGGACTTTGGCGATTCCAGATTATCGGTTTTTCCGGATTATAGATCATCAATTTAAATCTGGTAAGATGGCATGCAGAAATTATAAAATTAAAAATATGAAACTGTAATTTATGAAATAAAGAGTAATTATGATCTAAAGGGTATAAACATTTACAAAAAAAAAGCTTAATATTTATTTGTTTACTTTATTAAACATTTCTTTCAACGCGCGCATGCGTAAAGCATACATTACGCATAGTCGAAATTAGAAAATTGCAACCGGAAAACTATTTTGATGTGTATTTGTGATATTTATAATGATGAGGAATTTGATTTAAATCATATCAAAGACGGAGTACATCGAGATGAAATACTGCATTTAGTAAGGAATTATAAGCCGAATAAAATAAAAACATCTGCCCTGAAGATGAGGATAGTGCTGACAGATCAACTTCCAGTTCATTGCGCACCGTGATGTCCCCCCCCAGAGCAGCGTGAAATTGATAAACAGATTTTGGAATTTTTAGAAAAACAAAGGATATGCTTATCCATTTTTTGCAGCAATTCCAATTTTTGTTTGATGGACATCAAAACATGCTTTCGCTTTGTAGATCCTTTGGCAGCTCCAGAATCGGAAATTCTTTTTGACATAATCGAAAGTTCAAGCTTACCTTTTATAAAATTGCTCTAACAGTCTGCAAAAAATAATAAGCTGGATCTAATTAGAAGATTAAGGAACAACACAATCTGCAACATTAACTGAAATAGATAATTAGATAATTTTAGCTTAGCTTATACTATCTGTTATACATTAAACACGCATGATTAAAGTTATGCATATGCAAAAATGTATATGCGCATGCGTAAACGTAAATGCATTTATGCATGCGCAGAAAGTTTGTAGCCTTGAGGTCCGGATTATAGATCATTCCAGATTACGGACATCTGGATTAAAGATTTTTGACTGTATTAAACAATCAGCACAATCCCACATGAGCTTCCTTAGTAGCCCTGAGAATGTCCAGTCAGTAGTCCAGTTCCAGCCATGTCCATGTAGCATTTCCGAAGTTGCAGTAGCAATAGCTGCGGTTATGGAAGCGTGAAGGTTTTCAATATCACAGATGTTCCCTTTCACGTAGTACCAAAAGAAGAAACTGAGAGGAGTCACGTGGGGAGACGTTGGTGGCCAGGAAATTGGGCCACCACATCCTAGCCATTGGTTAGGGAAAGTTGTATCTAAAAATGCACAAACATGCTTATCCCAGTGAGGAGGGGCCCCATCTTGTTGGAAGATAACTGTGAGTGTAAATGCTGCATTTAGGGTATTGTGTAAATTTGTGATATGTCCAGGTAAATGTTTACTGTCACAGATGTCGTAGCAAACAGAAACGGTCCTATGATTGTATCGTGATAGAGCACACTAGACGTTGATTTTTCGGTTGCTCCATGCCAATTCGTGTAGTGAATGGGAATTTTCTGAGCCTCAAATTCTGCAGTTGTGCTTATTAGCATTGTTGCTAACATGAAATGTAGCTTCATCTGAAAAAAAAAAAAAGATGCAGTTTTAAAAATTGTGTTCATTTTCGATGCGAGATAACATCTCCACAGCAAATGCTGCGTGCTGCAGCTCATCATTTGGTTGCAGTTTCTGCACAATCTGCATTTTATATGCATAAAACCTCAGCTTTCGATGCAGCACATCATGAATAGTTGATTGTGGTACAGAATCTGCCCGATCGACTGACAAGGACTCGGAATGAAAGCTTGTCGAACATCTTCCACACGTGAATCAAAATGTGAAAGCTGATCTTTTCAGGACACTTCCCATTTCTAGAAACATTTTGTGCCACTTCTTTATGGTCTTAGCTTGGATTTCTTTTATAAACTGCTTGAAGCATTCTTTGCACTATTACTATGGACTTGTGTTCTGCATACCAGAAAACAATTTGTGCCTTCTCTTGTGGTCACATCATTTTTCCATTTGTCAACTCAGCAAAAGTGCAGGTGCGTTAGACACAAGAAAAGAATATTGTCATCAAACTCTTCGAATTCAGTTCTCACATGTGGCCAATATCGCCTTCATAGCACTACAACTTTGTTTTTAAATGACTGTTCAAAATAGGTACATTTGATTTGGACACCCTGTGTATTACATTTTCCCTATTGGGTGGACTCCGTAGTTTAAGGCTGGGAATGCAGTCAGTCTTTTATTTAGCTTTTAAGTATTTTAGTTTATGAATTTAAAAAACTTTGCTCAAGTTGTGGTATTTTCTATACTTTTTCTTATTTAATTCGTAAAACACATTAAAAAATAATGGAAATTTAAATAAATGTATATTTATTTTTTCAGTTTGGGAAAGGAGGGGAAGGGGAATGCTTGTCTAGCAATGATGAAAGTGGTGCATGGAGCAAAACAGGTTGAGAACCACCTATCTGTATTTTAATATTAGAATTTTCCATACATTATGAATCAGACTGCAATAATTTGGTAATATTTTGGAATGGCATAGGTTTGGACGCCAAATGATATGTTGAAACTATTTTGATTTTTAAACCTGAAATCTAAAACATAGTGAACGCTCTCTATGGCACATGCACCAGGTTATTTTGGTCTTATGTGAAGTTGATCATCTTGGAGTGATGTATTCATCTCTCTCTCTCTCTCTATGGCACTAGGTGATTTTGGTCTTATATGGAATTGATCATCTTGGAGTGGTGCATGAAAACAATTAGCTAATGATTATTCTTTCAATTTAATTACTGAGCATCGCTTATTTACAGTTCTTTTTGCACATGGTTTCACCACTAAATAATTCACAATTCTCATGTGACTGATTTTGAGTATCAATTTAATTCTATTATGAATGGAATGACTTTTAAAATTACTAATTTTAGTGATCTTATTTCTTTTGATTTTTTGAAAAGTTAAAATAAAGGTAAATTTTCAGTTAGTAAGTAGTGATATCCCGAAAGCTGAAACTTCTGTACCCTCAGTAATGTATAAATAATATGCAAATGACACATTCACTGTGCTTCAAAAGTGTTGCTTTTAAATTTCAATACTAAGTAATTTTCTACAGCTGAAATATAAAAGTCCTCTAAACAGCTCATTTTATATTATCTATAATGGTCCAAAAATTTAAAGAATTTCTGATGGGTTCAAATTTGTTACTTCATTAAATTTAATAGACCTTTTTCATTACGTACTGATATATAATTGCTGGACATCCTTTTTTAGAACATTCTATGCCAGTGGTTCTCAACCTTTTGATTAACGTTTGCCATCTAAACAAAAATTGAAAACCTTTAGTACCACCACTACAAAGTACTGCTACCACCACCACTCTTGAACAAAGTTCATATCGCATAAATTTATGTGTGTTAGAGAAAAAACTCAGTCAGGATGTTGGGGTTTTATTTCTGAATATAATAATTAAAAATACTTTGCTTCTTTGTGTACCATCTATTTTTCTCTTGCGTACCGGTTGAGAACCCCTTTTCTATGCTTTTTGCAATTACTTTAACTGCTTTTACACATATTCAGCAACTTCTTATACTTTCAATACATTATAAAAGTGTTCATTAATTTCAATATTACTTAACATAGAATCTGATTAAAGTAAATTTGACATTCTTCTTCCAGATAGCCAAATATGTAGTTTAAAATCAAGCTAAATATTCAGTATCTAATAATATGTTTAATACCTATTACATCTCCAGTAATGACCATGTAGTTTTTCACTGTTTCAAGAGTTAGAATTATTAAAACTGGAGGATGTATGCAAATAAATGTGCTTTTTCATTATAGCAGTGGCATTTCTTTATGTATGTACAATAATGATTTTTTCCCCTTCCTAGATTGACTCATTAAAATCTCATAATGGTTCAGCAGTACTTAAATTTGAACCATTTATTATGCACGTGTTATGTTCTACTATGGAGAGTGCTAAAAAATTAGTAAGTAAATTTTAATTAAATAACTTTTAAATAAATATTTCTGCTGTTTCATTTAAGCGTTTGGTACTTTTCAATTAACAAAGTGCCACTTAGCACTAAATGTAAATATTGGCAAGAGATCTAACTAGAGGTAGAGATGGCAAAAATACAGAAATTCACAAATGAGTATACATAATTATTTAAGTTGACAGAATTTTGCAAATATGATCCCTTGACACAAGAAGTAAATAAAGCAAATATTAAAAAAAAAAGAAATATGTGAACTTTTGAACTTGTATACATTGTATTAACTTTTATTTTTATGGTGCAATATTTTGATGCTGCATTAGTAGTTAGATACAGTTTCATTCTGTAGTTTTTGAGTGCAATTTTGGTACTGCTCTGTTATCAGAACCGGGTTTAGAAATGTATGTATGTCTGCATGTGTGTGTTCATATATGCATATATATGCAAGTATGAATGCATGTTTGTGTATACATATACACATATATGCACATACTGCATATAAGCACGCATTCGTACATTTCTGAATCCGGTCCTGATAACAGAACAGTATCGAAAGTTTTCAGTACAGAAGCACCTTTGGTAGAATATAATTGTGATTCTTCATTATTTGACCATAGCCAGTTCATATAATTGATATTTATTCTTTAAAAGGGAAGGTGAAGAAGAAGGGGGAAAAGAAAAAAACTGAAAATATTGAAAGAAAAATTATGGGATCTGTATTCATTCTGTCTGCTGTCATTGCATAGCTACACACTTCACGCGAAACAAACGGGTTACCACACTTGGTACTGACTGCTACCTCTTTGATTGGGTCAGTAGTCAATTAAGAACAGTAATTGAACCAAATTTTAAATTAAATGTTCAGCTTTTAAATATAAATTTATGTTGATTTCAAAGTTTTTTTTAATTATGCTTTTAAAGTGTCAAATTAAAAGCAAGAATTGTTTTTTATATTAAAATGAAAACAAACTTTATTAATGATTACAAAGTGTAAAATTTCTGTGCTTATGATGTATTAAAATAGTTTAAAGATATTGACACATAGATTACCCACCTTCACAAGGATGTATTCTATGGAATATTTTCCAAGAGACTGTGCTATGCATGAAGAAATCACATAAAATGCCTTATGTAAATGTAAACATGAGCCAATTGTCCTTAGAATGGCTTCAACAAAGTCATCCCTTCTCCTTGACAAGTAGCCTTATGCATTGCAATCTTCAGTTAAATACACTAACATTTAATTTCATTCACTTAGCCTGTTTTGGCTGTAATTTAATACTGAGTGAAGCTTGGAATTTTCAACAGTTCTACCAAATGGACAGTTTTAAGCTGATAGAAATATGATAGCTAGTGTTTCTAATGAGTGTTAAAATTAGTACATTAGTTCAAGATCAGGAATCCCATATGCAAATTCATTTGTTGATAAAAGCAAATCTTTACAATCCCAGTCAAAGTACCTGTATATGCTATGCACATGCCCTGCCCAAAATGCAGGGAAAGAGCTATTAGGACACTTGTGAAATTAAAATTAAAATGTTGATAATTCAATTATGCAATTACCACATCAGAATTCTGGTTGAAGGAAATCTTTGTAAGAAATGAACAAATTTGAAATTCATTGAACAGGCTCATTTACATTCTTGGATGCATTATCTGTAGAAACTGAATTGTTAATAATAAGCTGCTTTAGACAAGAAGCAATATTAATAATTTTAGATAGGATACTTGGGAATTTATGGACCACTAGCTTGGGGATTTTGACACTTTCCTTGTGAATTATGAAAAGTAACTTGCAAAGAAGAGAGCTTCTTAAGCTCATATGCTCATATTGTTCAAATGTTTTGCTGTGTTTAATTCTCATTCTGGTAGATAACATCATAGTATCACAATTTAAAATGAATTTATACAGAATCAATACTCTGAGTATAATTTATTCAACTAGGAAATTCCAATGCTATCTGGAGCATAGATAGAATTCATGAAGCCTTTTTAGTTAAATGTGGAAATGTTTCTAGAGCAAAATTATAAAAAACTTGATTTTTAACTTGTTTAAAAAGAAATTTTTGCAAATGTTGTAAGACTAAAAGTAAATTGTATGTTTCATATGTTATTAAATTTTCAGCATGCTATAGGAATTCAGTCTGGCTTCAGGAATTCAGGATTAACAGTAGGTAAAAGTGGAAAGATAACTATGGTATGTTTTTTAATTTTTTAACAGTTATTATTATTTTGGAATGCTCTTTCAGTAATGGAGAATCATAGTTTTTCATATTTACTAAAATTCTAAATCATATTGTGTGCAAAAATTTTTCATAGTCATATGTGATGAAAGTTATTAGAACCACAACATTTACTTTTTTGTCTAGACAATGAGTATTTTGTAATTCTGAAGTTCAGTGCTAAACATATGTAAATTTACTTGGCCTGTGTCTTTTCCATTTTTATTGATATTTTTTCTCCTTTTGTAAACAAAGACAATATAAAATTAAAATTGGCAGACATTCAAGACATTTTTTTAACTTTATGCACAGATGCTATAATTGCTAATGATTCCTATATACCCAGTGTCCAGTATTATACATTTCTCTCAGATACGTTCGCTTCTGTTATTTTTGTGTATTGTTATCTTTTGATTATGCTTTATATTTCAAACATTTTCTATAAAAAAAAATTTTTTTTCATTTTGCTGTTTTATATATTTCTTGATTTTCATTTTTGTAAATAGCAATGCATATTGATAAAGAATGACACAATATGTAAAATCATAATAATTAAAGAAATAAACCCAACAAAACTAGTATTAGGGATTAACTGAAAGAGACCTGCTTTTGGCAGTTATTTGATTGTTTTCTTCAGGAACAATTAAATGAAATCTTGATTCCACAAACAGAAGGAAATTCGAGAAACTTTGAGAACTTTTTATATTGTCCTTTGTAATGAGTAGATATAAAAAAGTTTAAAAAAAGGAGGGAGGGGATACAGTGACATTTGTAGATAATAAGTAGAATCAGAAATTGGAACAAGCCATGAATTAATCTGCTTACAAATAGCACACAAATACGGGTAATAATTATGTATATGTTAAAAACTTTAAAAGAAATAAAAATGATCATGAAATCATTATTTAAATACCTTTAATATATCACTTACAATGATTTAAATGTTTGAAAGAATCTTCATAAATCCAAGCAATGAATTTTTAAAATTCCTTTTGGCGTATAGTCATACATTTCTAGACTTGAAAAAAGAGTTTTGGATTATTTGGAATGTAACAAAGATGCAAGAGCTATTTGCCCAAAGGACATCATGGAATACTTTTTGAAGGAAAAGGACTTTATGGAATACTTTTTGAGGGAAACTGACTTGTATTTGTGTTATGCATGAAAAATTCTCTTGCATTTTCGAGAATTTGAACTCAGATTGAACAACTGCTGTTTAAAGATTTTAAAGAAGAAAAGGGTTTTAATTATTTAGAATATGTAAGGATTGTATAAGATCTTTTCTGTAATGATATACCCATATTTTGTGCATTTTTTTATTTTGTTTAATAGCTGGCCTTTCTAAGACATCAATTAAAACTTTTAGCTGATCTTTCATAAGCATTTTCTTTGATTCTGATTTTTTTATTGAATGAAGTAAAATTTGAATGTAATATATAATGCTTTTAGCTAGTAAAAATATTATTTCAAGTAATCAAGATAACAAGGGTTTTAAAATTAAAGAAATAATTGATTGGGATTATGCACTGTATTATTATCAGGAGAATACATAATCTGAGAGTAGTTAACCATATTGTTGTACTGACAGGACTAAACAATGGCTATTATAACAACTACCAAAATTTTCATCATGCAATGCACAGTTTAAACTATTAATGTTTGGCATTCTTAGAAATGAAAACTACAGTACATTGGAAATTTCTGAGTTTTGGATAATCAGTTTAAATCTAGAAAGATGACATGTTATTAAAAAAGTTCTTTATTGATATTTCTTTAAGAAAAAGGTACTTTTCATAAAGAAAGGTTCTTTTCTGAATCACTACCATGTGAAATTAAAATGTAATTCAAAGCAGAAACGGTAATACTTTCTGGATTTAAAATTGATGTTTGCTGTTCCATTAATTGATTGATGATTGAAGCATTGTTATCGTAGTGTAATTCAGTTATATCATCTTTAGCATTTCTTCTAATAATCCATTAATTAGAAAATTTCACTTTTTTTTTTTTTTTTTTTTCCTTTTCCCTTGGTGCTATCCAAAAATCATGTGTTTTCATGATCTTGCAATGGCTATACATTGGATTTTATATTAAAATATTTCTAGAATACTTGGATGGTCTTATTTCAGCATTGGTTTTTAAATACTGCTGTGTATATAAAGTTCACTTTATGTATAAGTGCAAATATATCTGCAGTGCGATTCCATTGACTGATTGATGGATGCATAGTTTTGGGGGAAAAGTGAAACAGAAATATTATCATTCATTAAAGCTCTAATTTTAATAAGATTAATTATAGAACAAAATAATAAACTACATCAAATGACAAAATGAAAAGAAGAGTGCAAATTGCAGTATTCTTCGGAATCTAAATGCCCTCGGGGGCTCTTTTTTTGTGAGTACAGGTGTGGAAATCCTGAGGTACTCTAGCCCTTTAGGGGATCATCTTGGTGAGACAAGTGTCATATTCCTGGAGCCCCACTGATCCATCCTCTTTTCTGTTTTTCCTGTAAAAAGCTGTAATGAACTGAAAAAAAGCTGTGACTTTTTTAGTCTCTTCTCCCTTGTGGTTCTCTTTTTCACAGGTTAGGGAGTCATCATGAGAAGCTAGAACAGCTCTTTTCTCTAATTTTTGAGTGGCAAGACAATTTCCCACATGTTTGCCATGCATGGAGACCGTGCCATTGGAAAAGAAGGTCCTGGTAGTTGAGGGGTGAGGTACTCTTCGAACATGCTGCTTTACCCTCTGCTTCAGCTAAACAGGAGGCACTTAGTTGTCCTCACTGGTGTCAATCGGCTGGTCTCGCAACCCTACTGTCAGTGGTTTGGGATTAAGCTTTCAGGAGTACCTGCATTCGGGAAAGGTAATTGTGGGGCGTCACTTTGCATATAGGTCTGGCTAGCCCTAACATAAGAATTTGTGTACTGTTGTTAGGCTGTATGGTGGATAGGGCAGTTGAGCCCAAATTTTTTCTCTTTCCAATACGGCAACTCAATATATATTTAATTAAACATCTTGAATCTAGTTACGACCTTCCAAGTACCAATTCTTTACAAATGTCTAGTGTTAAAAAGGTACACACAAATGTGAATAATCCCAACAATTGTTCACGCTTATTTGTTGTCTCTAGTTCTTCTAGCGAGCTGCAAAAGATGTCTCCTTTCATAATAAGCAAGTGCGTTCTTTCTTTTAATGGTGAGCTGAGAAATATAAAGCATCTCCATTCAGGAGACTTTCTTATTGATACAACTTTGGCCACGATATCTGCTTCCTTACTTCAAATAGCCAATCTTGGGCAAGCCATTGTCACTGTAACAGCACATAAAACACTGAATTATTGTCGAGGGGTAATCTCAGAAGTCAACTTTCTGTTTGTGAAGAAGAGATCGTATTTGAGCTTGCTGACCAAAATGTCTGTGGTGCTAATTGGATTAAGACGTGAAAGGAAAGCCAGTTGTTAAACATCAAACATGTTATCCTGACTTTCAACTCGCATGATCTGCCAAAGAATATGAAGGCTAGATATCTTAATTGTTCTGTAAGGCTCTATATTCCAAACCCTATGTGATGCTTCCTATGCAAGCATTTCAACCATTCAAGGATGTCCTGTCGTGGCAACCTCACATGCGCCCGATGCTCAAAAATCAGCTACAATTGGGTTAATTGCACCACCGTACCATTGTGTATAGATGGTAAGGGTGAACACCCAGCATTTTCTTGCTCATGCCTAAAATGGAGATCAGAAAAGGAAGTGAAAATGTTACTAGAAACATCCCATATGCCGAAGCCAGAAGGCTGATTCAAAGCACATAGCTCAGACCAAACTTTTGCCAGTGCTATTAAATCAAGTCAGACAATTCCCACCCAGACTTCAAATAGTACGCTGACTCCACCAAATAACACCCAGCAGAACTGATGTGATACAAAAACAAGAAATAGTAATTCAAAGTAAGCCAAAATATATTACTCCAGAAAATAGTTAAAAATAAAAGCCGTAGCAATAGCTCATTTGATGACATGTTGTTTGTATCTTTAGCTTCAAATAATATGGAAGTAGAGGAGGGGATAGAAGTTCCCATGCAAAACTGAAAAACAGCACAGAAGAATAAACACTAAGCATAATGGTCACAGTCATCTCATGGAACTGTTGTGGGTTCCACCAAAATCTAGTTCACATCAAAGATATGAACAGTAGTCATCATCCTGTGTGCTTGGCAATACAAGAAACAAACCTGAAACCACAACAACAAGCAAAACTTTGGAGGTTTTCTTTCACCAGGAAAGTTAATCTTGGAGCTAAGCCTGCCAGTGGAGCTGTAGGACTCTTCACCTCACTAGATCCATCAATATACTTCCTTCGACAACATCCTTCCAAGTTGTCACTAAATAAACAAATTTTCATATTGTGGTTTTCAGTCATTTCACTTTATTTGCTTCCAAATCAGCATGTTGATCAGTGTAATTTAAATGACTTTGTAGAGCGGCTGCCTGAACACTTTATCATAATAGGGAATTTTAACGGCCATAGTCCACTCTGGGGAAGTAAAGACACAAATTCACAAGGACGACAAATTGAGCAGATGATCGAAGATCATGCCTTTGTCTCGCAAAAAATGGGCAGGACACATACTTCCATGAACGTAGTGGAAAATTTCACTCTCTTGTTCTTGTCTTGTCTTCACCATCTGTGTTGTTATTTTGTACTTTTAATGTTGGAAGTGATTTTTACTACAGCGATCATTATCCCATTTTTATATCTCATGCATGAAGAGGAGCAAATACATAGAGCAGACTGGGAACTCTTCTGTTGCAGAGAAATGTTAGAAGATGTGCAGATCAACAATACAGTGGAATTAGTTACTAATATTGTTATTCAGGCAGCTAACTCTCTATTCCTAGAACATTATAAAAATTGCTAAAACATGCAAAACCATGGTGGAGTCATGATTGTCACAAAGCACTGAAAAAGAAGAGAGAATCATGGGGAAATTTTCTTAGACACCCCACTTCACAAAACCTTATAGCCTACAAAAGAGCCAAAGCAAATGCCTGAAAAGTAATATATCAGAATCAGAAAGATTCATGGATTTTATATGTGTTGTCGATAACATCCTTTACATCAAATTAAGCAGGTTTGAGAAAGAGTTTGAAAATGGCCATAGTGTGATTCCCTAGCCAGCAAGCATTTGAAAGTGACATATAGTGTAGGGTTTCCCTTAGTTTGCATAATAAGTTATTTTAAGTTTGGTATATTTCCTGAACCTCCCATTTTCCCCTCACATTTTCTAAACAGGATGTAAAGTTAAGCGAAGAGAGTATAAAAACGGAGGAACCTTGAAGTTTATTCAGAGCATGTTTTCACTAGCCAGCATATATTACTATTTTGTCCTTGCGGCTGTTACACTGAGTTGGTGATATACGAGGGTAAGTTGAAAAATAAGTTTCCCCTGTCGACTGTGGTCAGAGTTGTGTATGAAAGTCAAAAAATAGAATGAGACATTAAAGATATGACATACCTTTATTTTTCCACATAGGTACCAAGTACATTGAGACATTTGTCATATCGCTTGATAAGCTTCAAAAAGCCCTCCAGGAAATCAGGGCTTTGCATATGGAAGAAGCATTGAATGGCTTGTTTCACTTCAGTATTGCCTCCAAAGCGCCTTCCCCCGAGATTTTTCTTCAAAGCCGGAAACAGATGGAAGTCGCTTGGTGCGAGATCAGGACTGTATGTCGGATGGTGTAGGCGCTCCCAACCAAGAGTTGCAATATGGTTTTGCGTTGCCGTCGCCGAATGTGGTCTGGCATTGTCATCCAACAGCAGAACGCCAGATGTGAGAAGGCCAGGCCACTTTTTCCGAATTGCCTCTTTCAATTTCAACAGGGTGTTACAGTAGCGCGTAGCATTGATGGTTCCAACCTCCGAAACGTCCAGCAACAAAACTCCTTGGGCGTCCCAGAAAACTGTGAGGAGCACTTTACCTGCAGAGGGAGTTGTCTTGAACTTCTTTCGGACAGGTGATGACGGATGTTTCCACTCCATAGATGCAGCCTTCGATTCTGGCCTGAAATGGTGGACCCACGTTTCATCCCCCGTCACAATCCGAAACAGAAAGTCATTGCCATCTTCATGGTAATGCACGAGATGTTCCAGGCTGACCCCCATGCGTTGTTCCTTGTGTGTCGAGGTCAATTGTCGTGGCACTCATCGTGCTGACACTTTTCTGTATCGAAGAATGTCGTGGATGATGTTTTGAGCTCGCTCATATGAGATTCCAAGTTCTTCTGCTACTTCATCGATGGTGATACGCCGGTTCACTCAAATCATGTCATCCACCTTCCTGACATTTGCAAAAAAGAAAAATCTCGGGGGAAGGCACTTGAAAGCAATACTGAAGTGAAACAAGCTATTCAACGCTTCTTCCATATGCAAAGCCCTGATTTTTTCTTGGAGGACTTTTTGAAGCTTATCAAGCGATATGACAAATGTCTCAACGTACTCGTACGAGAATAATAAAATAAAGGTATGTCATATCTTTAATGTCTCATTCTATTTTTTGACATTCATGCACAACTCTGACCACAGTCGACAGGGGAAACTTATTTTTCAACTTACCTATGTACCTTTTGGCCATTTAATAAGTCTATTGCTGGGTAGGTTGTTGAGTCAACCTAGTTAGCCTTAAACAAAATTGTTAGTCCAGCACTATTACTTATCTTTGAAAGTATTGTTACATTATTCCTTAGTTCCACCGTGAGTTGTTGGTGTTATTGTGAGCATGAAGTATGTGCATTTGTATTAAGAATTTGGCAAATAATAAAGGGTGTGTTTTACCCTTTTTCTGGGCTGGTTTCATTCACACCTGTACATAAAGTCATCAGGTCTCCTTGTAAGATCATTTCAACTGCATGATAGTGAAGAAAGTTAGATCTTCCAACAGGAATCTCAGTTATTCCAGAGAAAATTGATGCAATTTTTTGATTCCCAGACTTTGTAAGGAAAAAAAATATTTGTTGCTAGTGGTCCAGAAGTCCGGATATTAGATTGTTCTGGATACTAAACATCTGGATTTTGTATTTTATACCGTATTACATCTATATTAACATTAATGCAATCTATACTTATAAAGAGGAGCATTTTTTTAAAGTGTGTTGAAGGTTCATCAGGAGAATCTGAAGATATTTCATTTACATCTAGAATATCTGATGACATAAAACTTTCATTACGCACAGAAACATTTTTAGACATTTATTCTTAATTAGTAGGATTTAAATTTCTGTCATTTCCTTTAATAAATATTCTTCATATTCATTTATATCATTTTGATGACCAATCTTTAGTTTGAAATCTTTTTTCATTTGTGCCTCTCAGAATATTTAGAATATTTATTATTTTGCTGTCCATTCCATAATCATGTTGGAAAAGGATATTGCTGCTTCTTATTCATTTCCTTTATTAGATTATCTTTCTCATTTCTGTATACATTTTCCCATACTTTTTTCTAGTTGGTATTTTTAGCAATATATGTGTAGGGGGTACCAGTTAAGTATCCATGATATTCCCATGCTAAATTAAAGAGGTAATTAAATAAAGTATAATATTCAGGTCATTGGAACGTACATCTGAGATCGAGAGATCTATAACTGATGCGTTTGCTCAGAGAACATATTCCTGATTTAGTCATAGACTGATCTAACATTTTAGGCATCAGATTAGCAAATGGCAGTTCCTAAGTTCAACCTAGCTAGCAGATTTAACATTTTGAATGGTGCACAATATTTACCTCTGTAAATAGTACTATGAGGCAATGCTTTATTCACTTATGTCTAGACATTACTGATTGGAAATTATGCATGTGGTTATGATCTGCTTCTAAAAACTGTGTGCTTGTTCTTGCTTTTCAATACTAGAGTTTCGCATACACACACTTCTCAACTCATTGGAGTCATATATGTTCCTTACTCAGTGTACTGGATTTGAACATGTACCCACAATACATCAGGGCTATCATAAACACAGTGCATTTTACATATTTTACTGACACATTAAAATGGCTTCTTTAGTTTATATTATATAGATGCACTTTTGCAGAAAACAAACCCCTGATTTGATCTTGGACTGTGAATACAATTTTGTTTGACTTATTAAACTTTAGGATAGCATAACATCTCCCCTACATTGGATCAAGTTGGCCATTTTAGGCCATATGTTGGTCATATGATTAAAGTTATAAATGGCTAGTAGTTTGCCTGGAATGAACAAACTGGCTGCATGAGATTTTCATTGTTTTCCTCATGTATAACTTCAATATATGCCAATTCTCTTAAGAAAGTTCTTTAAAGAGGCATCCTTTGTTCATGCCATAATTAAAGTCAAATATATATCACAATAAGTTTCAGAAGATCTGTTGATGAGACCAATACATTTTACAATCCTAAAAGCATAAAAAATATTGCATATCAGTTTGATAAAATTCTTTGTTTATGTCTTAAATGCAAAATTTGAGAGAAAATTTTATATAATATTGATATATATATAATACTGTCACAATATTGTTTGAATTAAAGTATAAAAAAATGTAAATATGATTTTAAAATTATAGCTTTTTAAATTAAAATAATGAATTCTTAAAATTTTTAAATTGATATTTTGTAGTGTATCTTCTGTTTTAAACTTGATAAATTTTACATATAGCTTACATTTTAACTTAATCTGGAATTCCTAAATTTTTTTAATTGATATTTTGTAGTGCATCTTCTGTTTTAAACTTGATAAATTTTATATATAGCTTCCAATTTTAACTTAATCTGAGATGTAAAACTACAGGAATTTCGGTTTTCCTCAAATAAATTCTAACTGATTATCTAGAAGTTTTGGTAATAGACACATGTGACTTAGAACCACAGAAGCTACCTGTCGGTTTTGCTGTCTAATAATAATTTGTTTCATACCTTCAGAAAATTTGTTTTAAAAGAAAATGAAAGAATTTATCATGTTTATTTTCATTCATGCATTTTGCTTTGAGAGTGTTTTGTAAATGTAGAAAAAAATTTTGAGTACAAAAAAAAAAAAAAAAAATCTGAAGTATTCGAGTTTTTAATTAAAATAATGGAAAATAAATTTTTCATACACTGCCACAATATACATGAACTCTTAATCTTGTTTCATTTTAGGCAATAAGAGGAACATTGTCCTTAGAAATCCCCTTATCTCATAATGGTGTTTGGCTGGTTTCTGATGAGGTAATCAAATTAAATAAATTGTATAACAGTGTTATAATGGATATAATTCATTTATGTAAGGTCTTTAATTAAATATATGTTGTAAAGTAATTCTATTGGACTGAAATTTCGATGTATGATGCATAATATGCATAATATGTGTATCATTCCCTAGAAGGTGTGAGCTGCCAAGTATGCTAAATCGACACTTTGTAAAAGTTTTATCCGTTTCAAATCATAATTTTCTAATGCGGGGTTTCTCAACCAATGGTATATGCACCACTGGTGGTACGAAAGAGAAAAATAGGTGGTATGCAAAGAAGCAAAGTATTTTTAACTATTAAATTCAAAAATTAAAACCTCAACATCCTGATTGAGTGTTTTCTCTAACACTTGTAAATTTATGCAATCTGAGCTTTGTTTAAAAGTGGTGGTGGTAGTAGTACTTTGTAGCGGTGGTACTAAAGGTTTTCAATTTTTGTTTAAATGGTACGCATTAGTCAAAAGGTTGAGAACCACTGCTCTAATGGATTCAGTATATATCTAAACTAGTTTCATAATTAAAATTTAAAAAATTGTAATATAGAAATTCATTGGCTTCATCAAGTTGGAAAGAGTTTGTTTTTAAATACAATATTATTTTTTAATTATTAATGTGATTATGAATTAAAATGTCATTACAAATAAAATAATTATATTTGAAAAGTTATATTTTGTGTATTAATCATGTTGGTATGCCTTTTTTTTTTTTTATAACTCCTGAAGAGCAGCCAAGAAACTAAACTTTAAATGCTTTTCCTTCACTTAGCAACAAAAAATACAATTTTTCAAAAGATTTATGGTAATGTAATTTGTATTTTCATAGAAAATAGGGCTTAAATCTAATTGAGCGTTTATTTTTTTTTTTTTTTTTTTTTTTTTTAAGGATATTGCAACCTTAATTCAATTGTTTTCCTCATGTATAACTTCAATATAGGCCAATTCTCTTAAGAAAGTTTTTTAAAGAGGCATCCTTTGTCCATGCCATAATTGTTACACAGTCAAATATATATCACAATAAGTTTCAGAAGATCTGTTGATGAGACCAATACATTTGATAATCTTAAAAGCATACAAAATAATGCATATGAGTTTGATAAAATTCTTTGTTTATGTCTTAAATGCAAAATTTGAGAGAAAGTTTTATATAATATTGATATATATAATACTGTCACAATATTGTTTGGATTAAAGTATAAAAAATATAAATATGATTTTAAAATTATAGCTTTTTAAATTAAAATAATGAATTCTTAAAATTTTTAAATTGATATTTTGTAGTGTATCTTCTGTTTTAAACTTGATAAATTTTACATATAGCTTATGACAAACAACAAAAATTTGTTCTTGCATTCTTTCAAACGCTAATTATAACTCTGTTGTTTTACTTTGTGCTGTGTTGTGTTCGAAAGTTCAAACTGCCGAATAAATGTTAATTTACAGCCCACTAGCATTGATGTATTCTTAGGTTCATTAATTTAAAGTTAAGATACCGCTACACTACAATATTCTGGTTCCGTCTTACGCCGGAGCTTCGAAGAAAAACCCGCGCTTGTGAATAAGAATTCTACGTGTTCGTAATGGTGTTACGTTTCGGTTTAGAATTCTCAAGAGTTACGCAATGGATACAGTGTTCGAGGTGAGTGAAATAGTTAACGCATTTTATTGCATTTGACATTTCGTTATTGTACTATTTTTGTGATTAAAGTATTAGTAATATCACGAATTTAGAATATTTTCAAAAAGTCAGATACAGAAAAAAAGCGAAAGAAAGTTTTGAGAACACAGTTAACGAAATTCATCGAGAGAATAGATTGTGATAACTTGGATAATGCTGAAGCTGAATTCATGTTAGAAAAATGTAAAATCTTTGGACCAACGATTTTAAATCTCCATTTAGAGAAATTTATACAAATTGTGATGATAATAATATAGACACTTTCGTTGAGGAAGAACAGTCGATTTTAGAGAAAATTGAGGAGGTTCACTTGAACATTATTCGTAAGTTAAAGATTTACAAGGTCGTAAATGCAAATGGTCATAAACCTGTTGTACCTGAGTCAATCTCTGAAAGTTTAAAGTTACCGAAATTATCTTTACCCACATTTAGCGGAAATTTAACTGAATGGATAACATTTAAAGATATATTTAAAGCTAGTGTTCGCAACAATCCAAATCTTTCTGGAGCTCAAAAATTACAATATTTAAAGAGTTCTTTGAAAAATTATGCTTATCGCATTATTCAGTCAATTCCCATAGCTGATCAAAATTTCAGTATTGCTTGGAATTTACTAGAAGAGAGATTTTCTAATCAGAGAGAACAGATATTTGCTTTTATTAAAAGAATTCTTAACGTTTCACACACACACACACAACAAAAAAAAAAAAAAAAAAAAAAAAACGGAATCTGCATCCTCAATATTAAGTTTAGTAGATAACATAAACGAAATAACTCGCTCATTGGAAATATTAGATCAAAGGATAGATAATTTTAGTGATACTTTGTTGTTGTATATTATTTTGCAAAAACTTGACGTTTCGACAAAGTTGTGGTGTGAGCGTCAATTAAAAAAAGACAAAATACCAAAGTTGAATGGCTTGATAGAATTTTTGAAGAATTACGCTAGAACATAACAGAACAGTAAACCTTTAATTAGTAAAATGCATAAATCAGATAAACCAGTGTATAATAGGGTTACTTCTCTGATTACTAATTCTACTTGCTTATTTTGTAAAGAAGATCAATTTTTTATACAAGTGTTCTAATTTTTTAAACTTTACCAGTGCAAAAACGAATAGAGTTTGTTAAGACTAATAAAACTTTGTTTTAATTGCTTGTCTAATGTCCCATAAAGTTAAAATGTGTAAGAGTGCAAATACCTGCAAGCATTGTTTTAAGCATCATCATAGCATTTTGCATTTAGAAAATAATTTCAAACCAAAAAATGCATCTAGATTTCCCTTCACCGGAAGCACAAGTGTTTGTTCCGAAATCGCAAATTAAAACCAGAAAACAACTTGAGTGAGGTTTCTCCAACTGTTTATGTTACAACTATAAAAATCAACATTTTGGAACTCATGCTAATGGTAAATGTCATGTACTTTTGTGTATTGCTTTAATTAAGGTTCAAAACTCAAAAAAAGAATTTATAAATTGTAGATGTTTACTTGATTCAGGTAGTGAAATATCATTCATTCGTCGGAAAACAGCTATCAATTTAGTATTGAGCATAAAGGATTCGAAGATATTAGTGTCATGCTTAGGTACTTTCAATACAACTACTACTGGAGAAATTGAGTTGTTGTTTACACCTCATTTTAATACTAATTACAGAATTTCAACCGCCTCTTACATAATAGACAAAATTACAGGAAACATTCCAAGTGTAATATTACCTTTGAATTATATGAAAGTTTCGAAGATTTAACTTTAGCAGATCCTACATTTCATGAATCGGGAGAATTGCTTGGAGTTAATGTATTCCTTACTTTAATCAATGGCGAGGTGCAAGACGACTTATTTACTATTCTTTTGAGGTTTAGATGCTATCCCATAGCCATTACTAGCGACTTATTGAAAATGTATCGACAAGTTCAAATTCATGATGAAGATCGCGATTTCCCAAAAAATACTTTGGAGAGATGATCCATCGAAGCCGATTAAAACTTACAGGTTGTGCACAGTTACGTACGGCACTACTTCCGCTTCATACTTGGCTACTCGCGTACACAAACAACTAGCAATTGACGAAGGAACTAAATTCCCAAAGGCAGCTGAAATAATATTACACAATTGTTATATTGATGATGTCCTAGTTGGTTCAGACGCAGTAGAGTTAATTTCACAACTGAGTGAACTTTTACAAAAAGGTGGCTTTCAATTGCATAAATGGTGTACAAATGATCGCTCGATTTTGGAAACTGCTTTGAGTGCTCTGAACTCAAATTCTTCATGTACGGTAGTTGATACTAAATCAATAAAATTATTGGGTTTGGAGTGGTATCCAACGCAAGACGAGTTTACTTGTCACTTAGGAAATCACGAAAACAGAGAGTGTTCTACTAAAAGAATAATTTTATCTTCTATTTCGAAAATCTTTGATCCACTTGGTTGGTTAGCACCCTTTATAGTTGCAGCAAAAATCTTGCTGCAAGATATGTGTAAATTACAAATCTCGTGGGATGATCCCTTGCCAGGTGAAATCAATCAAAGATGGAAAATCTATTGTGAAGATATCGCAAATCTGCTCTGCAGTTCTATTAGTGCATTTGGTTCAAGCTGTGCAGAATTCATTGCAAATTCATGTTGACGATATTTACGCATGGAGTGATTCAATGATAGTTTTGTCCTGGATACAATCTGAACCAACACGCTGGCAAACCTTCGTAGCTAACCGCGTTTCAGAAATTCAATCAGTCTTACCTTCATCGCATTAAAATCACATAAAAGGTAAGGAGAATCCAGCGGATTGCGCATGAAGAGGTCTTTTGCCTTCAGAGCTTTCTACTCATGACTTGTGGTGGACAGGTCCTCAGTGGCTTAATTCAAATAATATTCCGTTCTCTATCAGCTTACCATTTTCAGAAGAGTCTTTAAGGGAACAACGGAAAAATATTTCTTGTTCAATTGGAACAGTCGCTTCGCAAATTCCAGTCCTTAATGAAGTTTCATTATTCTTGAAACTTAAAAGAATCATCGCATGGTGTTTTCGGTTTGCGAATAATTCAGCTAAATCTACCGCAACAAGGATTACGGATTACCTTAAAACCGAAGAATTGCAGTACGCTAGAAATGCAATTGTTAAGAGTAGATCAAATGGATGAGTTTTTTAATGAATATAATCCTCTGAGAAAGAATCAACCGTTAAACTCAAATAGTAAGATCCTTTCTTTGAACTCCTTTACGATAAGAATGGACTTATACGCGTTGAAGGATGATTAAGACAATCCAACATCGCGCAGGACAACAGTTAGGGTTTCCCTGCCTCGTGTAACTCAATCACATTACAGGTCCATTTTTCCTTTGGGCACTTCGTGGAGGTTCATCCTCCACTATTACCCTCCAAGGG